GGTGGCACTTGCACAGGGTGCCTGCCACCATGCAGTGCCTGAGCCTGAGACACTCCAACCCAGTCAGACTGGAGCTGCTCGAACTTTTCCATCTGTCCAAATTCCCTCTCTGCCCCCAGGGCCTCCTGCTTCCCAGCCTGTAGCTCTGGTGTCTGTGGAGCACGGGGCTGGCAGGAACTTCCCTCCCACCCCAGCAGGTCCAGCAGACCTTTCCAGGCGAGCTGGTGGGCAGGAGCCTGTGCTGGTCCCTGACACAGGCTCGGTGTCCGCAGCCTTGGACCACAGCAGCACCTTTCTGGCTAGAACTGATCTTGCACTGGTCAACCCTGGGCCTGTGTGTGGGTCCACGTGTGCCAGAGGCCTGGGAAAGGCACTGGGGACATCAGGGGGTGTTTGCAGGTGGTGAGGTCCTTGGCAGCTCCAGGCACCTCCTGCAGGTTATTCTGTTCGATAAGGAATGTTTGTCGATGTGTGGGGAGGGGGAGGTGGAGAGAGCGAGATAAGGGCAGATAAGGCAGTGGCTGCAGCTCCACATTTGGTGTTGGTTTGGGTTTTCGTGGCTGTTTATTGCTTGCTGACCTTGCTCTGTTTTGAGAAGGGACTCGGGGTTGTGGGGGGGACGTTGTGTTACTGAGTCCCATGGTGTTCAGGCAGCCGGGACATCACTGCTACATTGTGTGTGCTGGGAGATGGCTGTGACTAATCACTTGAAACACAAATCAGAGCTACTAGAAGGGCCCATCCTGTGAGGCTGCCCCGGGGAAAATGGGAAAAACAGGATTGCAAAGCAAGACCCTTCCTCTGCTGCCTAAGGGACTCGCACCAGCCTTCTCCTGCCACGTTAGAACACTTTGTATCCTCTTACTGACGGATCTGGAACCCTGGCTTTTGGTCTTCTAGCAGCTGAGGAGAGGGAATTCTGCCCCAGCCACGCTGCTGCCTTCCAGGGCTAGAGCAAAAGAAGGAGAAACTCTGGAACTGCTCATAGATGTTTCCCCCATGAAGCTCCTCATCAGTACGAGGAAAAGTGGCCAGAAAGTGAAATGCAGATCACGATGCAGTGCATGGGAGTTTCTGGGGAGCTGAGCTTTCATTTTTGGCAGTACAGAGCTGCTGGTGGGTCCTGGGAGGAGCTCCTGGCCCTGGCCCCCTGCTGCTGCCCACCAGCCTGAGCTCCCTGCCTGTGCTGGCACAGCTGGGGACGTTGGACCAGTCTGGATTAGTGCTGTGGGCATTCATAATTAGCAGCTACTTTGCAAATTGCCTTGCTCCTTGCTGGGATGGGTCCCCAGGGAGAGCTGTGGCTTTGCTCTTGCCCCTGTGGCCAGAGGATGGACCCTGTGGGCTGAGTGGCTGCCAAGCACCTCAGTCCTTGGGGATTACAGCCTTCGAGCTGCAGATCTGCTGAAGTTGGGACGTTTCCAGACCTGGCTGGGCTGCCTGTGTGGGGTTTGTTGCGATTTTCCAGCCCCAGCTCTGGACCCCCAGTTGCACTGCGGAGACTTTCAGTCATGCCCAGTGGCACCAGCAGCTCTTGCCTTCAGCCCACCCTAAGCTGGCCTGCTGTGAGAACACCCTGCTTCCATCATGTTGCTGCTCAGCAGCTCCAGTCCCTGAGAGCATCATCCACAGCATCACTCAGATCCTGGAGCCAGGCATGCCATCCCATGGTGCTCATTCCCAGGATGATGCTCACGTTGCATCCACCCCGAGCTGCAGCAGCCTGAACCCTTCCTCGGACTGCGAAATGTGGTTTGAAACCGAATCACCTGCACCAAGCCCAGAACCAGAAGAGCCACTTGGCCACCACCCCAGGGGGCAGCGCTGGAGGATGGAGCTGTGCCCACACTACCAGGGCCCGGAGAGACAAGATCACGTAGCAGCAGGATGGAGAGAAAGGATCTTTGTGCTGCTCACACAAGTGTCACGTCGGGGAGCAGCTGCAGAGGGGAACGCCGCGGCCGGCACCTGTTTGGCCGGAGCTCCCCTGGGCTGACCTTTCCCAGCGATGCTGCTCTCGCAGCCCCTCGCTCCCTCCCCTCCCTGCTGTCCTGCCGCAGACCCTCGTCCCCCTGCCCCTCCTGCCCCTGGTCCTGGTGGCATGGGGACCCCTGGCCCGCTTTGCTGCCTGCTCATGGTGGTGGGGATGCCGGGACCTCTGCGCAGTGGCAGAGCAGAGCAGGGATGTGGGATGCTCCTGGGAGAGGCCAGATCCTGCCGGATCAGCTGGCACTGCCTGACATCTCTCAAGTTGCCCGTTTCTCTCCCATTCCACAGCCCCTGTCACGGCACACTGCCCCTGAGCCGAGCAGTGCTCAGTAAGACTTGGGGTGGGGGTGTGCAAGCTTTCAAACCCCCAGCCCACTGAATGGGGTGAAGCGCTGGGTGCTGCTTGGGGTGCTCTCTGCCTCTGCCTCCCCCTGCTCTGCAGCCCCTCCCCTGGGCTCACTGGGAGCATCCCAGCAGCGCATGTTGCCTCATTAACACTGACCGGGCTGCAGCAGCAGCAGCAGCAGCGACAGCAGCAGCATGGTTTCCTTTGGTCTCTATCTCTTTTCTCCTTTTTCTTTTTCTTCTCCTCTCTCCTAACTGCTCCAGCTCTGCCTAAAGCAAAAATTGAAGTGGAGTCCTACTCGGCCCACCCCGGCGACCTCCTGCAGCTGCGCTGCCGGCTGAGAGATGACGTCCAGAGCATCAACTGGGTGCGCGACGGCGTCCAGCTGGCGGAGAACAACCGGACACGCATTACCGGGGAGGAGGTAGAGGTCAGGGACGCAGTGCCCGAGGACTCAGGGCTCTATGCCTGCATGACCAACAGCCCCTCGGGAAGCGAGACCACCTACTTCTCCGTGAACGTCTCAGGTTCGTAGAGGCCCCGGGAGCGCAGGGAAGGGGCAGCCCCGGGGCTGCGGAGCCAGGAGCAGGCTGCCCCCCCCCCTCTCCTTTGCATGCCCCCTGCACTGGCCATGTGTGGGGTCTGTCCGTCTGTGTGGTGAGTTCAGGGGGGACCTGTGGTTTTGGGGGCACTTGGAGGAGTTACCGGCAGGGTGCGGTGACGTCCCGGTGGTTGCAGGGCAGAGAGAAGCAGCTGGATGGTTGTCGCCTGTTTTTCTGCATGGGGTGGGGGCTGCAGAGCTGCCCGCAGGAGTGGGCATGTGATGGGTGTGAGCTGAGGTTCCTGGTGGTGTTGGTGGAGCATGAGAATGGAGAAGAACCTAGGCTCGAGGTCAGGAGGTGTCTGCCAAGGCTCAGGGGCCGCCCTGTGCCCACAGGGTCTTGGCTGCTGCCCCATAGGGATTGGTGACCTAAGTGTGGGTGAGGAGCTGTGCTTGGACACATGGCATGGACCTCCAACATCACCTCTAGGGGTAAACTGCTCCACAGCCTCCATGGGCTGTGAGCACCATGCAGCGGGCACCGGCAGCCCTGGCTGTGCTGATGGGCACACACAGCTCACCTGGGATCCCACACCTCCCTGCCCAGCACGATCCCACACCACCAGCCCACGGTGCTCTGGTCCCCAGCTGGAGAAGGGAAGGGTCCACACACGGATGTTCAGCTGGGCCGTCTCTTCTCTTGCAGACGCGCTCCCCTCCGCCGAGGATGATGATGATGAAGACGATTCCTCCTCGGAGGAGAAGGAGGCGGATAACACCAAGCCGAACCGTACGTGCCAGATGGGTTTGCTCCTGGCTTTGGGAGGTGCAAGCATCACTCAGGGGTGGAGAAAGGCTGGCACGGGTGGGCAGGGGCTCCTGCTCCGGCCCAGGGCACCCAGCACTGGCAAGGGCTTGGTGGGAGGAGCAAGTCTGGGTGCACCCAGGCAAAACAGCCTGGTCAGAGCAAGGGGAGGTGCTGGCACAGGTACCTTGGGTGCTCTTTGTGACTGATACCTGGTGGGTTTGGCTGGGTGCTGATGCTGATCCCTACCCCTTCCACTTCCCAGAGGCTATTGCTCCCTATTGGACCTATCCTGAGAAGATGGAGAAGAAGCTCCACGCTGTCCCTGCTGCCAAAACAGTGAAGTTCAAGTGTCCGTCGAGCGGGACACCCAACCCCACCCTGCGCTGGCTGAAGAATGGCAAGGAGTTCAAACCCGACCACCGCATCGGGGGGTACAAGGTACCAGGCTGGGGGGTGCAGGGGGAGGCCGTGGGGAGGTGCTGGGGAGGTCAAGGGGCTGGAGTCAGCAGGCTCGCTCTGGGATGAGGAGGGGAAGGTTTGGGAAGGAGCTGGGCAGCTTAAGAGCCACTGAGCCACCTGCCCATGCAGCCCCTGTGGGAAGATGGACCCCTCTGATGTTCCTGTTGTGAAACATCCTCACTGCAGTGACCTGCTTCTGGGTCATGTTTGCAGCAGCTCAGTCCCCCAGGGGAGGGGGCAGTGGGGGAAGCCTCTGCCAGCTTCACCTAATCCCCCCACCAAGAAGAGGGGGTCTCAGTGGTTCTGGCCAAGATGAGATATTAGGAAGAAATTCTTTCCTGTGAGGATGGTGAGACACTGGCACAGGTTGCCCATGCCACAGGCTCCAGTCAGGCAGCAGGGACACCCCACAGGAAGGTGGCCACCTCATGGCTCTCAGTGATCATGTGCCAGGGAGGGATGCAGGCTCATGGGCAGGGAGGAGAGGGGTTGTCAGCTGTGCTGCAGCTTCAGATGGTGACAGCTTGGTGCCTTGGATAGCAGAAATACAGGACTGTGGAAATAACCAGTTTCCACCTGGGAGGAAGGAATGGAGCCACCCCAGCAGGGAGCAGGGCTTGGGGAGGTCTGGTGGGGAGGAGCGGCAGGGGCAGGGGTGGGTGAAGGACAGTACAGTGTAGGAGCAGCCATCCCTTTGCCCCATGGCTGGAATGGACCTGAGGAGCATTCCCACCGCAGCTGAACCCATCCCAGAGAAATCATACCTGTTCAGCAGCACCCAGGGAGGTGTTCCAGCTGTAAAACACTCTGTGCCCAGCCCAGCACGGTGCCCTCTTGCCAGCAGGGCTGGCTACAGGAAGCAGTGTGGGTCTGAACTCTGTGCCAACCCAGGGAAGTAGCTCTTCCCGGGCAGAAGCAGAAGGGGAACAATGCTGGTCTGTTCCCTGCTCGCTGGGGCCACTGGAGAGGGGTGTCCCTGCACTCCAGGACAGCCCATCATGCTCAGCTCCCAACATCTGCTTCCCGGCACAGTTGGCTCCGTGGCCAGGCTGTCCCAGGACAGCTGGGAGCAATTATGGTCCCTCTGTAGGAAAGGGGAAAGGTGACCTCAAAGGGAGATTTATGTCCTGCCTGTGGCAGGGAGCGGGGGCTGAGCCAGCTCTGACGTGAGCAGGAGCCAGGGCTGGTGTTGACACGTCACGGGCTCTGTTCTCATCCCTGTGCCCCCAGGTCCGCTACGCGACCTGGAGCATCATCATGGACTCGGTGGTGCCCTCTGATAAGGGCAACTACACCTGCATCGTGGAGAACAAATATGGGAGCATCAACCACACCTACCAGCTGGATGTCGTGGGTGAGGAGCTGGGAGGGCTCACGCTGGGTCCCCAACACCCCCCTGAGCAGAAAAGGGTGCTGCAGCCTCTGGAGGTGGGGATGGGGAGTGTGCACCTCCACTGCACAGTGGGTCTGTGAGCGGGTGAGCTGGAGGGTTCACCTCAACCCATTCTGGGGATTTTTAATTGTGGTGGAAATAATTTCATAGACCAGACAGAAACTTTTTCTAATCGCCTTATTAGCCATAATTCCCAGCTGGGAAGGCTGGTCTGAGCAGTTCCACATGTGGAGCTGCTCTAAATGCCAGTAAATGAACCATTAAAAATGTGATTTAATTTGATTACACTGAGCAAACTGAAGGGAACAGTCAGGGAGGTGAACAAAGGGGTTTGTTAATGCTGACTCACCACAGTGGCAGCCGCTTTGTTAATGGCTGGGGCCCTCGTTTGGTTTGTTTGACCTCTGACCCCCCAATAGGTGCTGATGTCCCCGTGTCCCCACACCAGGTTTCCACCTGTCCCCAGCCCCTCCTGACTGCTCTGCCCCACTGTGGGGGGGTTCTGGGGAAGGAGATGCTGCAGTTCTGCTGGGTGCATCAGTGCCCATCACAGTGGGGGTCCTTGTGCCTGGGGGAGCTGAGCACCCCAAGCCCCATGCTGAGGTGCCCCATGTCCCGCAGAGCGTTCCCCGCACCGGCCCATCCTCCAGGCAGGGCTGCCTGCCAACAAGACAGTGGCCCTGGGCAGCAACGTGGAGTTTGTCTGCAAGGTCTACAGTGACCCCCAGCCCCATATCCAGTGGCTGAAGCACATCGAGGTCAATGGCAGCAAGATCGGCCCCGACAACCTGCCCTACGTGCAGATCCTGAAGGTAAAGCCAGACGCTGGGCTGCCCCAGCCCACGTCCCCCCATGGGGCAGGAGCGGGGCAGGGGGGGCAAGAGGAGCCACCTGGGGCTGGGGACCACCAGCCAGCAGCTGTCACCAACCTGCCCGGGGTGCCCTGGAGCAGCACAGGGTGAGAGGTGGGCAGGGGGGGCTGCCTGGCCCCTTGGCCATATCCAGGCAGTGCCATCCCTTGGAAGCCCTGCAGGCACCTGCTGTGGGGCTGGGGGGGCTGGCCCTGGGGGGGAGCAGGGTGCTGGTGGGGGGGGAGCTGAGCCCCTCACCTACCCCCTGGGGTGCACAGCCACCCCCTGTGCCCCTGATCCCCAGGACACACAGCCATGCCCCTACCCCCTGGGGTGCACAGCCACCCCCTGTGCCCCTGATCCCCAGGACATACAGTCATGCCCCTACCCCCTGGGGTGCACAGCCACCCCCTGTGCCCCTGATCCCCAGGACACACAGCCATGCCCCTACCCCCTGGGGTGCACAGCCACCCCCTGTGCCCCTGATCCCCAGGACATACAGTCATGCCCCTACCCCCTGGGGTGCACAGCCACCCCCTGTGCCCCTGATCCCCAGGACACACAGCCATGCCCCTACCCCCTGGGGTGCACAGCCACCCCCTGTGCCCCTGATCCCCAGGACATACAGTCATGCCCCTACCCCCTGGGGTGCACAGCCACCCCCTGTGCCCCTGATCCCCAGGACACACAGCCATGCCCCTACCCCCTGGGGTGCACAGCCACCCCCTGTGCCCCTGATCCCCAGGACACACAGCCACCCATCCACCTGTGCCCTAACCCCTGTGCTGCGCAGTGTCCCCAGCCACATCCCTGCCCCCCAACACACACAGCCGGGGCGCAGGGGGGAGCCCCAGGACTGCCTGCCCTCCACCCCCCGTGTGCAGCCCCATCCCTCCCGCCCGGCAGCGGGTGCCGGAGGGAGCAGCTCCGGGCGCTGCCGGTCCCGAGCGCCGCGGGGTGACTCCCTGTTGTTGGTCTGTTCCAGCACTCGGGGATTAATAGCTCTGATGCGGAGGTGCTGACCCTGTATAATGTGACAGAGGCGGAGAGCGGGGAGTATGTTTGTAAGGTTTCCAATTATATTGGCGAGGCCAACCAGTCTGCGTGGCTCACAGTCACCAGACCCCTGGCACCAGGTAATCGGAAGGACGCCCGGCGGGTGCTTCCTCGGACCGTCAGTCCCCGGCGGTGGAAAACAAAACTCGGGGCTCTCTTGTTTCTGCTGTTTCTGGTGCAACAAGCCATGGAAAAATACTCAGCAGGGCCGGCTGGGCTTCGTGCTCCCTGTGTGTCCTGATGTCCTGTGTGCTTCCCAACCCCACGTGCAGACACCAAGTGTCTGCGGGGTCTGTCTGTGTGTGACTGGGGACAACGCTGTGTGTGCTCTGTCCCCCACCTGTCCCCATGCCCCGCCGGCGGGGGCGGGAGGGAGCAGCTCCGGGCGCTGCCGTTCCCGAGCGCCGCGGGGTGACTCCCTGTTGTTGGTCTGTTCCAGCACTCGGGGATTAATAGCTCTGATGCGGAGGTGCTGACCCTGTATAATGTGACAGAGGCGGAGAGCGGGGAGTATGTTTGTAAGGTTTCCAATTATATTGGCGAGGCCAACCAGTCTGCGTGGCTCACAGTCACCAGACCCCTGGCACCAGGTAATCGGAAGGACGCCCGGCGGGTGCTTCCTCGGACCGTCAGTCCCCGGCGGTGGAAAACAAAACTCGGGGCTCTCTTGTTTCTGCTGTTTCTGGTGCAACAAGCCATGGAAAAATACTCAGCAGGGCCGGCTGGGCTTCGTGCTCCCTGTGTGTCCTGATGTCCTGTGTGCTTCCCAACCCCAAGTGCAGACACCAAGTGTCTGCGGGGTCTGTCTGTGTGTGACTGGGGACAACGCTGTGCTCTGTCCCCCACCTGTCCCCATGCTCCTGTGACCATCCTCCCTCCTTGTCACCGTCCCCTTGTCACTGTCCTCCTTGTCCCATCTTCCTGTTTCTGTCTTCTCCATCCTCCTCTCCCTGTCTACCTGTGCCCAGTTTTTTGTCCCCACCCTCATGTCTCTGGACTCCTGTCCTTCTCCTCCTGTCTCCATCCTTGTGCCTCCTAGTGTCATTCAAGTCCACTGGTCAGCTCTGCCTGAGGTTTATTTTTCCATTTAGCCCATTGCCAGCATGTTCAGATGGGCAGGACACTCCCTTTGGTGAAGGGTTTTTAACCAGCATCTCCGTAGGTTGGCCAGGATGAGTGGTCATCCTGAGGGTCTCTCTAGCAGGTCTGCAGTGGTCTCTGTCTGCTCCCCGGGGGTCTGGCAAATGAGACTGGGCTCTCCCTCCTCTCTGGACTCTTTC